TTTTTTTCTTTTCGTTTCTTTTTTCCATATATTTATTTCAGTCGGTCGATGGTGACGGCAATATTGGTGACACAACAACCATACCAACAACAACAACTACAACTACCACCGAAGCAATCAATGGCATCGAAATATTAAGTTTATTAAGTACAAAAAGCGAAAATATCGACGTAAATAATGCGTCGTCTCCAATTACTCAAAAAAATACCCAACCACAAGAAAAAGCACAAGCACCACCAAAACAACAACAACTATCACACCACCAACAACAACAACAACAACAGTTACTACCAACACCACCATCATCATCATCGGCACCCACATCACAACAAGCACTTTCACTAGCTTTACCATCTACACAAGCACAATCAGCATCAATACAACAACAGCAACAACAACAACAACAAGCAACATCACAAAATAACAACGAAGATGTTAAAAATAGCAAAAATGCCGATACCGAAAAGGTAACTTTGCTCACCTTCTCTAAAGTTCTTTGTACATATGTACATATGTATGTATGTACAGTTACATATGTACGATTACATTTAGTAAACTGTACTTAAGCTCCTAATTTATAGTTTTGTGCTGAAAAAAATTGCATAATTTTTATTACTATCAGTAGGGCGATTTACACAGATACTTAAGGGGTTACACCATCGAAATAATAGGTTAATTTTTTTTTCCTGGCGCAGATATGAAGTTTATAAAAATATTTATTTCACATATGTATGTACATAAACTGCATATCGACACATGAGTGTAAAATCGATCTATCTCGGCAGCCAGTTCGAAAACGCCCTATCTTAGAAAACTTTTCAAGAACCTCAGAACGCAGAATTTGGTTGAAGAACGCCCTATCGCCGCACATTTTCAATACATTTTCAGCTGACATAGGGTGTTTTTCAATAAAATTTGTGAGGATTTTTTGTATGACGAAATAGCACTTTTTGGGAAGGGTAATTCTCCATAGTATTTCAAGGCTGATATTATTACACTGTAAGGAAAATTTCAAGTTTTAAATTACAAAAGACAACGCCGAAATACGCAAACTTAATTTTGGGTCCTAGATTACAGATCTATATACCGTCTTTCTAGGCCAGATCATTTTCTCAAGATATTTTCATTTTAACAGGGAAAAAAATTAAAAATAATTTTTTTTTTGTAAATTCTTTTGATTCGTATAAAGCCTGTTATTTTACAAAAAACATCAAGCTATCAACGAAGAAAATTGATTGCTAAAAAATTGATTAAAGCTAAATGAAAATGCGTAATAATTTATTTTTTAAGAAATATGACCAGGAAAGAATGTTACTCATACGCCATGTAAAATGAACTATGTATTACTGAAATATGAACTATTCTATATACATTTTTAGTTTTTGGAATGGGGAAGCGCTTAAAATATGCTTAAAATAGGGTTGCCAACCGTACTATAATACATAGTATTGTACTATTTTTTGGGTCTGCGTACTATATACTGTTGGAAAAAAATATAGTATGCAAAAATACTATATTTCTTCAATTATACATATAAATATATTTCAGCAATTTTTAAGAAAGAAATGTTTTAAAATGGATGACATTTATTCTAAAATATTAGTGTTAAAATAAATAAAATAAAACAGATCGAAAATGGCAACATGTTTAAAAATACTTGGAAAGATTTACCAAATTGACTTAAATATATTTCGCATATGCCTTCTATTCCAGCTACCTCGGCATTAACAGAAAAGGATTTTTTTTTATTAAGATTTTGAAATAGTGAGATGAGAGAAATAAAGCAAATATCTCACCAATAAAAATGAACTTTTGATTTATATTAATTTAATTTATATAGGAAATGCATAAGAAAGAAAAAAGATGTACACTTAAAAACCATTTTGACTTTTTCTTAAAGAAAATACTATATAAATATATTTTATGTGTACTATATTTTTTCAAATTTTTTTTTGGAAGTGCTATAAATTTCTTAGAAAATGTTGGCAACCAACTTAAAACTGGTAGAATTTTTCAAGCGAAAACATATTAAATTTTTATTTTTTTTTCAGGGTGGTGTAACCCCTTAAATCCTAAGTAATAGTATCTATTGTGCTATTGCGTACTTTAATCTTCCTATCTGTAGTCCTAAATATTAGAAGCTTACGCATATTTGTATTTAGCATAAACGTTTTATAACTTTGAGTTCGCTAAAATCCATTTTAATTGAATTTCGTAAATTGCTTAAACGTCCTTACTTTCCGCATTGGCTTGGTAATTTGTTAAATGATAATATTTAGCTGTAGAAAAAATACCGTCATTGTACGTCAATGAATTCAATGAACCTCTGTGGGCCTGCTCAGACGATCTGCTCTGAAAAGACAAGTGTGTCGAGGCTCATTTAGTTAGTCAGTGGCACCAGCTTATTTATAACGGGTTATCCATCTAGCGCTTGGTGAAGTACAGCCCTGCCATTTGACATTACTCATTAACATTGTAATTTTCTCAAATGTTTGCTATGTATTTCGAACTGCGAAGAGTTTTACGACCTAACAACGTATTAAAATTACTTGGCTGTATTTTCGCGCATTTTGCAGAAAATCTTCCTTAGTGATGTGGCCCATTTCACGCTCGGCGGCTATGTTAATAATCAAAACTGGCCGTTGATAATTTCTCTAGTTTTGGTTCAAAAATAGGCTAAGTTAATACAAAATTAGCAACCGTAGTTGTCTTCCGAACGTATGTATGTAGTTAAATAAATAGTACCTCTATTTTAAAGCTTTTGCTGTGGTTTTCTTTTTTTTCTACTTCCAAAGTTTTTTTTCGATATTTCTGATTCCTTTTGTGATGCATTTGGAAAATATTTATAAGTTTAAATAAGATAGTTGCTTATAGACCAGTTGCCATTGGAGAATAATTCTTTTATAATTATTTTGATTGAGATATTTGATTTTTTCAACATTAAGTTTAAATCGAAACACGTATACATAAATAGCGATAAATATATGTACATATTAGAAGTTTAAAGAAAATTTTATTACTATAGCAAATTTTGACGCGAAAATATTTTCTAGCATTTATGTATGTACATAGATCTTTAACTGTCATATGTTTGACTTAAAAATTTGCGTTTTCTTTAAATTATAAAAATTATAAAAACTTGTTCCTTCAAAATTACTTACAAACAAGATAAGTAAGCGCTAATTCAATTGAATAGAAGCAATATGTAGTACAAATTGATTGATTCTCAAAAGTGTTGATATAATTCATTTTGTCGTGAAAACATGCCATTACCAAATAGTTTGTAGTGATTGCTTATTATTTGTTAATGAGAGACGAAAAGTATGTAAATACAATACACTACAACTTGTTTAGTAAAAGTACTATTCAAACCAAATTTTCATTATCGATTTCAATTTCGTATTTAGCACTTTTAATAGACTCTTTTTTTATAAATTTAATGCTAGATAATTTTGAATCGCTTAAATATTTCTTTTTGTTTGTTTTTAAAACTCTGCCTAACTAGCACTACTCCTCACGCCATTTCCAAACCAAACTTAATCCTATCATAAAATCCCAATAAATACTTATTGCATGCATGTTGCAAAAATGAAGTTAACTCTTGAGCGTTTTACAAAACTTAAAAAAACAATTAAGAAACCAAAAAAAATAAAAAAATTGAGACTTAGCTTTGTTTTCGCCTTTATTTATATATGTATATATCTATAGTAAATACATAAATTTACAAGGGGTAGTAATTCAAAAGCGTTGCCAACTTAGTTAATCATACATATATGTACTATAAGTGTGTATAATTTTTCTAACTTTTAGTTTGTTCGTAAATCATAATATTTATCATTGCGAATAATTAGCTAGAATTTATATTGTTTATTTTCTTTGCTAAATATTTCACAAATTAAAAATTGTCTAATACTGACTTCCAATCCCCAGACCCAGTCCTATACGAATGCCATACAAGCGCTGATCAACAATACGAATGTCCGCGTTAAAATTGCTGATTTGGGAAATGCCTGCTATGATGTAAGTATTAAATTTGATGGCTATGTATAAGTACATCTTGCGACCATGAAAATGGATGCGTTGACACAAGAGCAGCAAAACTATGTTTAAAACTTTTTTAAAAGTTCATTGCATACTGGTTTCAGGCCTAATAAAGAAGAAATTAAAACCTTCAATTTGTTTAAGATCATTTTGAAAGTCAAGGTAATTCTTCTATCCTACAGGACTAGTTTTCTCGAATTCTCCAGTTCAAACGCTAAAAAACACCGTTACATTTATTTCGCTATCTCTTTGGTTTTGCACTTTTTTCAAAAATATATCACTATGCGCCGTAATCGAGCGCCAAGTCCGGGGACAAGTCCAAATTATATGTATAAAGTACTTCATACTGCCAACGAAAATCGTTTTATAAAAACTTTGCCGTTCGCAGGCTGAGTAATTCGCACACCACCAAACGAAGAGGCTCGGCCAAACACTTCGAAAAATACCCTTACTCTTCTGAAATTTATATTAGGGGAATCGAAAATTTTTAGGGTGTCGCTGGGGCATATAGGAGTCTCTATCTGATGATTGATAATAAGTGTAATTTTGATAATGTGTAGTGAATCGTACTTCTAAAGTGGCCCTTATTATTAGAAAAAAAAAGGCCAACTACCAACTTGATTCCTTCACTTTTAATTGAAATGATTAATGGTAGGCAGGGGCTTCGCTAAATCTAATTCGTTTTCTCAAGTAGTCACTTATAGAAAAATATTTGCAACAACCATTTCTTGTAATTATCCATCATTATTTCTTTAAACGATTATCTCTAACACATTTCACAATATCCATTTCTTTACAGTACCACCATTTCACTGAAGACATACAAACGCGACAGTATCGCTCCATCGAGGTATTACTCGGCGCACCCTACAATTTCACCGCCGACATTTGGAGCACAGCTTGTCTCGCCTTCGAACTAGCGACCGGTGATTATCTCTTCGATCCACATGCTGGAGAAAACTACTCACGCGATGAAGATCATTTGGCGCACATTATTGAGCTATTAGGCACAATACCGCCGTCCGTTATATTTCGGGGCAAACACGGTCTCAAATATTTCACGAGTTATGGTAAGTGAACTATTTTATTTTATTTTATTTTTTTTTGAAATCTGCAATCAAAAATAATATTTTTTCTTTAAATTAAAACTTTGCAGGCAGCTTAAGAAACATCACAAAATTGAAGCCGTGGAGTCTATTGAATGTGCTGATCGAAAAGTACGATTGGGATCCAATTGAAGCAAAGAAATTTTCCGACTTCTTGCTGCCAATGTTGGAATACAATCCCGTGATACGCGCATCAGCGGCCGAATGCTTGAATCATCCTTGGCTTGAGCAGGAAGAGTTCGTTTAAAAAGCGGCCATATAAATACTTACATACATACGTTTCACAATGTTGACTGATTATAAAGCTGAAACGATATACATACTTACTACGCATACAAACGCACATGGCAAATGGGAGAAAATGCAATGCAATTAGAGAAGGAGGTGTGAAATTTAGCTGAAGACAGGGCCGAGAGAGACTTGAAGATTCTCAAATTATTAATTAAGCATTAAGAATTTACATACATACATAAATACAATACCAAAAACGATAAATTAAAGTGAAACTTATAGAGTAGGCATTAAATAATTTTTTAACATTTAAAGACAAAAGTGAAAATAATAACTAAATTAAATTAAATTTAAAAGCGTAGCATGCGATAAAGATATGAAAATTAAAAATATGACAACAATAAAAGAAAAGTTGATAGAAAAGAATTTAAGCATTGGTACTTAGTGGTAAATTAGTGGAAGCGTAAAAATCGCAGTTTGTTAAAGTAAGTTTTCTATGGGAGTATAAGTAAAAATTTAAAATTAGCATTAACATAATTATGAAGTAATTAAAAAAAATATATATAAAAACCAGGGACCGTAACGTCCCTATGATCTTTATAACAAAGCCAATAATTTAACTGTTAAAATTCGATTTATATTTTTTTGATAAATTTGGTCGTTATTTTATGATGTTTATTTTTGCGATCAAGAAAAATCGTTATTTTTAATTTTTGGCAAATTTTTTATCGTTATTTTTTATTGCCTTTTTTTCAAATAAGAATAACCATTTTTTAATCGACTTCACAAAAAGGAGGAGGCTATCGGTTCGTCGGAATATTTTTTTTTTATGTATGTTACCGCGTAACTTTGGACCACGTCAACCGATTTCGATAACTCTTTTTGCATCTGAAAGGTAGTGTCTCAGAGGTGGTCCCATACTAATCTGGTTTAGATCCGATCATTGGATCATGAAATATATAAATATATTTTTTATGAGAATCGAAGTTGTTTTTTTTTTCTAAAAATTACTTGTTTTATTTATGTTTTTTTGGCGAATTTTCTATCGTTATATTTTATTTTTTTTAATCAAGATTTTAAAAAATTTTTAATTTTTTTTATTTTTTTATTTTTTCGAACATATTACAACCGTCCCTTTCAGAATTACTTTTTTAGATCACAAAAGATTTACATTATTAGTTTATAACGGTTAAAGATGATAAAAAAATCCAGAAAATAATTATTTTTGATCGAAAAAACCAAATAACGATAGAATATCACCGAAAAAATAATAATCAAAATTTAGCGATTATTCTTCATCGAAAACATAACAATCATAAAATGACGATTTTGCAATGTTCTAAAATAAAAAACTTGACTTTAACGGTTATTTTTGGTCCTTCAGAAAAACACATTTTAAATGAAAGACAATTGCAAAGAGGAAAATCCTGTAGCATACCCCAATGACTTACATGCATACATACCTACTTACATAAATAGATATATGTATAATAAACCTGCATACATACACTTACATACATACTTGCATATACATATAAACATTTACATAAATAAATTATTAAAAAAACTTACAAAAATATACATATCGCTCATTTATTACAAGATTGTCATAACTCAAAAAGAAAAATTAATTTTAGAGTAGACGACGTATAATTACTTGGTATATCATATTTCATGTTATGGGCATTCTATGAGTTTTTCAACTCACTTGAGGGAGTACGGATTGCATAGAAGAACCGATTTTCGAATAGTAAAACTTTGCAAGCCATGCAATCTGTACACCGTGCAATGGTTTTGCAAGACTTAGAGAATACCCATATTGCTTACAAATTTCTTGCAAAATTATTGTGTAGTTTCCAGTTAAGAAAACAAAAGCACCTCTCTTTTCCTACAGTTTTGAAGCAAATTTACACTGTAGTCGTGTCAGTTTTTTAGTAAACGAGCGATGTGTGTATACTTAGCATAAACTTCAAAGAATTTCGAAATCCGCGTATGACTAATTGACTGACTTATTTTTCATAAACAATTTAATGAGACCTTACAACTAACACTAGTTAAGGTTAATGAATAAATATAATATATAACAAGTTAAGAAGAAAATAGACGTGTTTCATAAAAGGCAAAATACTTGCAAGCATGGAAAAATATTTTTTAATTACCTATAAAAAACGTACTTTTCACGCATTTTGCTGCAAAAGAAACATCTGAACATCATTAGTAAAAGAACTGGCAATTTTACAAGCAGGCACCAGCGCAAATTTTAATGTTTGCGAATCAATTTAAAAAAATATAGGACGGGAATTATGCCAAAAAATATGTCTAGTGAACACTAACACTAACAAATAATCATAATACATTAATTAGAAGTTGCCGTAAACATCGTGAAACAAAAACCAAAAAATTTCAACACACGTGGAAAAATCAATTTTCTCGTGAAACTAGGGGTCAAATATTGTAAAACTGACATCAAAACTTTTTTAAAATGGCTTTAAAATTTCAAGGATATGGTTAATGCAAAAAAAGTAAAAAGAATTTTTTCATTCACAAGAACGAGTAATGATTTTTTAACTAAAAAAGTTAGAAGGACGAAATTCGAGGATGCGGCAGTGTGCATATTAGTACTTAACATATATTTCTTAAAAAATAACTTTTGAAAATTTTCAGCGACATTCAAGGATAAAGTTTTCAAAGTTTCAAGTTTAAAGTTTAGTTTAGTTTGTGCACGAAAAATTTTAATTAATCTATGATTGGTACCCATATCCTTGAAATTTCAAAAGTCCTGTTTTTAAAAAACGTAACGCCAGAGAAAAGAGCAAAAACGCAGTTTTACTATATAGTTCTATATGGTTAATGCAAAAAAAGTAAAAAGAAATATAATTTTTTCATACACAAGAACGAGTAATGATTTTTTAACTAAAAAAGTTAGAAGGACGAAATTCGAGGATGCGGCAGTGTGCATATTAGTACTTAACATATATTTCTTAAAAAATAACTTTTGAAAATTTTCAGCGACATTCAAGGATAAAGTTTTCAAAGTTTCAAGGATAAAGTTTAGTTTAGTTTGTGCACGAAAAATTTTAATTAATCTATGATTGGTACCCATATCCTTGAAATTTCAAAAGTCCTGTTTTTAAAAAACGTAACGCCAGAGAAAAGAGCAAAAACGCAGTTTTACTATATAGTTCTATAGACTCCCATTATTGCAGTGTTTTCAATGGCTGAGATATGTATATGCAATCGACATGGCGGCAAAGCACGATCTATGTAGCCGCATCTAAACTTGTTTTCGTTGTTGACAGTCAAGCTGCCAGCAAAAGTTTGGGGTTTTCAACGACTAACTCGATATGCGTTAAGGAATCTGCACATCTGCAAGGTATCGTGCTCGATCTGGCCACGTCTCGACGAGCGATGAACACGGAGTAGATTAAGGCTTTTAAGGCCAAATGTTAGGCTTCTCAGAGGAATACTAAAAGGACACTGAACCATTGGCCACATGGCCGTCACGTTCAGAGCCTCGTATAACGATTTCAGAAGAAGCTGCAGAGACCAGCACTTGCTTCGCGAGTGCCCAGCACTTCGGGCAAAACGCCTTAAATTTCTTGAGGACCATTTTTTCGAGAGCCTGGCTAACTTGGGGAAGGTTTCACTGGAGGGACAACTAGGATTAGTCAGAGAATCAAAATGGTTCAAAAACATGTAGTGATACGTACTGGGTAACCGCCTGGTAATCGCAGTGGGCCTTTGAGGCCTCCGAGTAAACTCTTTTGAGAGCTGCCTAACATAAGCTACTATATTTGACTGCTAGTTTTGCGAGTATATGTATATGTATGTAGTTTTTTTCTGTGTAAAATTTACTGTCGCACATTGAAATCTAAAATTTTTCTCAAGCGCCATATTTATTTTCTATGTATTACATACTACACAGATTCGCAGATTTAAATAAGGTAAAGCGATTCATTGATTTCATTAATGCATACTGGCAATTTTCGTAAAACTTTGAAATAAACTAAAGATTGTTTAAAAGCACACATATGGATAATGTATAAATCTAAAACATGTATTATATAAATCATTAAACAATTCAACATTAACTCTTCCACCTAAACTAATGAACACCACCATGAAATATGTATGTATTTTGGTTTTTCGTCTCTTAACTGTGCACAAAATATTGTTGAAACTTAGCTAGGCACTTTAGTATTTAAGTTTAGCAGCTCAGTATCCACTCTTTTATATAATTTGTTTATTGATCTGACCTTAGCCGAAAATAATAGCAAAGAAGAGATGCAATTCGTTTACTACTAACTAAAATACTGTTTTCAGCGCGCACCCACCCCACTTACAAATTATTTGTACAATTGGCAGCACCTTTCTATTTTGAACAAGCCGATGTTAGTTGCCGAGCATCCGCCGGATTCTTCTCAATCCACTTTTAATTTATCGTCTTACATTTTTTTAGTTTTTTTTTTTTTATTGAAATAAAACTGTTTGACGCTTTTAGAGGGTTTTAAAGGAAAAGTACTGGATCAAAACTTTTGTGTTCGTGGTTATAGAGGATATTACTGGCTTTAATGTATGAAAATGTATAGTTTCGCACATAGAATAAATTTTGAATATTTCCGTTCGTAACTTAAGCATCGGATGCTTGTAGATATTCATAGCTTAGAACGACTTTATAGCCCGCCAAAAAATAACTTGCAGGAGATCATTAATATAATCGATATCAAGGAGTGATCTTCCGTGCACTGATAATAGACACTATTCTCGACATGCTTCACAGGTAAGGAATAGGTACTTATGTATAAGTGCAAAAAACTCTTAGAAGAGTGCATATAATAATAATAATAGATTGGCGCTTCTCCACCGATTTGTGGCTTGCTCCTTGATGTCGTCACACCAAGGGGAGGCGAGAAGCTGTTTTTCATGGCTGAATGCACTCGGAGGTTTGCCATTGCCTGCCGAGGGACGAACGTTATTAGAAAAATATGATTTTTTTGGTTTTATTTTTTGATGTTGGTCGGAAATTGAGCTCCATCAACCCAGGCCCTACGGAATAATAGTACGCATTGCTAACCACTACACCCACAGTAGCCGCCGAAGAAGTGTGCAGACACAGAGAAAAATATAATCTATAAAAACTAAAAGATTGTAGCCAGTGTTGCCATTTTGGTGCTTTTGGAGCTAGATTTAGTTCTTTACGCCCTAGCTCTTTTCAAAATTATCTATCACTTTTTTATCTCCAGAAAGTTTAAGTTGTATTTGATAATATATATTAAAATTACAAGTCATTGTACA